CATAGGGTGTCTATGCTTACTAGAAAAATTGAGGATCTTCAAGGACAGATATACGGGTTGGAGATGAGAAACAAGGACTACTATCTGCAGTTGTTGAGGAAAGAGCTGCAAGGAGAAGAGAAAATCAGCAGCAGAAAAGATGATGGCGTCGCTTTTGTGGGCTGTTGCTTTCAAATAGAGAAGCTGAAGTTGAAGAAAAAGGGTGGAGCTTCTGTTAGTAAAGGTGGTGCAAAGAGACGGCCAAAATGGTGGGAAAAGATCAAGAGCATGGACTTGTTTATGTGTGGCTTTCAGTGTTCCCCTTGACATTCCATGGCTACCTCCCCAGACTGCTACCGCTGCTGCATCAGATGGGAGTTCCAGGCAGATAATTCTTAGTTTTGTTTTCTTCCTAGCTTGGCTTACATCAATGAAGTATGGGATAATACTATCTGATGTCTTAAATTCTGTTTAATCCTAATAGAGATAGTAATATTTTATCTAATTAGATATTCGTTTACGTTTTTGCTGATGCTCAAAAGTAGGATGGAACATGTCTAAATTTGGCAAACAGTTTTTCCCAGAAATTTGAGTATCAATGCCTAAATTGCTCGTAGGATATTTAAGATGCACTTCTTGATCATGCTTGCCTACCAAACAAGTAGAATTACCATAGGATTTTCATTTTGATGTTAAGAAGTTTTTGTTTTGTCTTTTGTATGCAAGGAGATAGCATAAAGAAGGAGCCGTCAACAGGTAAGCTCCTCCATTGTTGCCCAGATGGAGAAACGAGCCCCGAAAAAAGTAGAGAAGAGTTTAAGAAACCTGTTTGGATCAGCTTGCGCGGCTGATGATTAATTTTGTGAGTTTTGAAATTAACTATTAATAATTATTATATAAATAATTTAAATTTAAATTTGAAATTACAGAGAGAATATTCTAAATTCATTGACAATTAAATAATTAACCATTTAAATGGTGATCAAATAATAAAAACTTAAAATTAAGAAATTTATTTTCAAATAATAAAAACTTAATTAATAATAAAAACTTAGAATTAAAAAATTTATTTTTCATGCGGTTTCAAATTTGAGTTTTTGGTTGTTTATATGATAGTTATTGAAGATTTACTATTACAATTAATCATGATTCAAGTAAACTGGTTCAAATATTTATATTAATCTAAAATAAAAAAAAACTCAACCTTGATTTAGTAATAAAAAACTTGGCTGTAAACAATGAGTTTCAAGGAAAATACTTGAAAATTCAATGAATATATAGTTTTGATTTTTTTGTATTTTATTTTTTTATATTAAAATAAATTTTTTATTGATATGCTAGGATTATTTCAATATATATATATTTTTAAAATAATATAAAAATATTAATTTAAAGTAAAAAAAAAATTTAAAATTTTTAAAAGCTAAAAAATTATTTTTTAATAAGAAAATTTAACATATAAATTGAAATAATAAAATTATCATTACTTGATTTTTATAAAATATAAAAAAATCATGTTAATTTTTTTTTTTAGGGTAAAAATCAAATTCAATGAGAGAAAAAGAAAAAAATTAAAGAAAAAAAAGATAAAATTGAAAATATTTTAAAGAAAATAATTAAAAAACAAAATTAATTATTGATGTATTAGATTTGACTTTGGCATTATAAAAAATATTTTATTTAAATATAATAATGATATAAATATACTTATTTTTATATTAAATGTTTTTTTACTATTAATCTGAGACAAAGTAGGGGTTGCAGGGTATAGAGGCCAATATAAAGCCCATCTATTAACTGGGCCATGCAAGTTTTGACCCAAAACGCACTTTTGGCGGGTCGAAACTCGAAACGCGACCTTATTGTACGCTTCGGAACAGTTAAAACTTAAACGCAGAGGCAGTGAGAGGAGAGATGCTAAAGTGCACAGCAAAAAAAGAAAGTGTACAGAAAATATTCTCAAGATGTTGACACGTGCAAATTGATTGCATACGCACCGTCAGAGATTCTCTTTAAAAACGCTCATGTACACAGCGCATAAAAAGGGTCTCCCTTATCGCCGCCTGTTATTGAGAGCTGAAAAAACACTCTCCTACCTATCTCCCAAAACCCAATAAACAAACTAAGGTAAACAAAAACCCTGAAAACCCTAGATTCATTCATATTTTTTTACATTGGCTTTTAATTCCGTTGCTTTTATCTTTTATCTGGGATTTTTTTCCAAGTCTTTGCTTGTTCAAGTTTGCATCTTTTTATTCATTTCTAGTTAATACTAGTTTTTTCTTTTTTTTTTAGTGGTTTTTGGTGATATGGGTTTTCCTTGCTGAAGCCTGTAGAGCTTGATTTGATGGTTTTTGTGGTTTGAAGTGAAAAGAAACTGTCAATCTCTGTTTAGGGCTTTTGACTATGATGTTTAATGAAGTTGTTTTGTTACCCATAATGTGATTAATTTGGTTTGTTTTGAAGTTAAACTATCAAGATTTGAGTGAAGTACGAAAATTTAAGCCCATTTCGAAGTATTATTACTGAAGGTTTAATAATGGTTTTATCTGCTAAGTAAATTGATTAACTACTTATAACTGGATTTGCTACTTTGTTTACTTGTTTTGGTGGACTGTGTTTCTTGAGTTTGTGGAACTTGCTTTATAATCTCTAGTTTGATAAGAACTTGTTAGCTGTTAATTCTTGCTCTCCTAGAGTTGCCTATAATTATTATAAAACCACCTGATTATACCAAAGCATAAAATCAAAATAGTTTCAATAACAATCAGAACCAAAATATTAGAGTCTTAAGCTTAATCGTGTGGAAGCTGTTTTAGGAGGATTTAGTGGATATGATTTCTTCCATTTGGAAGCTCTAGTCTTTTTTTTTTTATCAATTCAAATTCCTAAGCTCTTATGATATAAACACGAGCTTATTTTTTGTCGCCTTTAGTTCACTTATATTTTGTTCTTTTATCCTTTTCATTTTCTAGATTTTAGTCAAACTTGGTATATTAGTAATAATAGGTAAAAGAGGGTCTGAGTTTCACTGCTGTTTGCGATTTTTTGGGGGCAGGGCAGATGTTATGACCCATGATATTCAACAAAAGGTGCTGACAAATTGCCCTGAACATGGAATGTTAGACTTTTGGTGCCAGGCTATTTTCTCCTTTGATGTCTTCTAGTAATTCAATTTTCTCTATGGTTAAAAAAATGCAGTTTTTAAGTTGTCACCCTTACATTATATTCTGTTATCATGAATGTTTAATGGAACATGCGGGCGATTAATAATCTTGTGGTGGTTTGGTTCGTGCTGTATACATAGTGCTTTTGTTCGAATTCCTCGTAAGCATTTTCATGTTCAGGTTTTAATTGGTCAATGCATTGTACAATTCTTTTCTTTGTAATCCTTATTCTCTTTTATATAGATGGATCGGGAGAAGCTTATGAAGATGGCCACTGCAGTTCGCACTGGTGGAAAGGGTAGTGTGAGAAGGTGGGAAGACTATTCCATGGCAACTATTCTAGCTCTCACTGGAATTTATCAATTAGCTAAATTATATTGTGTTCACATCAAGTGGCTGAGTAATGAAAGAAGTGTAAATTAATGGAAGGAATTGTTTTAAGTGAAAGTGCCATATCGGACATTCAGCTGAGCAGCATACTGAATGAGATTTGTGTGGGTCTGGCTG